ACCCAACCATCTCTTTCCTGTAAAATCTCTGTGGCTCGATCATAGAAACTGAGTAAATTCGTTACACAGGATCTTCCAGATCGAAAACCATACTGTCTGTCTGATATTATATCGTTTTTCTCCAGGTGTTCTACCCATTTAGTTTTATTTATTTTTCCAATATTTTGACTATTACACTTGTCAATGATACAGGTCTATACTTGAGGGGGTCTTCCCTGCTGCCACTTTTGTACATTGGGACGATGTTAGCCTTTTTCAACACATCAGCTACAACTCCTTTACACAGGGATGTCTGAAAAATCAGTTGAAGTGGAATGCTGAGCTCAGGTGCATATTCTCTCAGAACCCATGGTGAAACTCCATCTGGACCAACTGCTTTGTTCTTACTTAGCTCCTTTAGCATTTTCTCCACTTCATCTCTAGACACCTCTATGTGCTCTATGCTGTTCTCTGGAATTCTTATTGTGTCTGGTTCCCTGAAGATTTCATTTTGTATAAACACACTTGGGAACTTTTCGTTTAATGTTTCATACATTTCTTTTTCATTTTCTGTGAATCTATTTCCCATTTTCAACCTCTGAATATTATCCTTTACCTGCAATTTGTTGTTTATAAATTTATAGAATAGGCCTGGTTCTGTTTTACATTTGTCCACAATCCCTTTTTCAAAATTTCTTTCTGCCTCTCTCCTCACTGCCGTGTAGATGTTACTCGCATCTTTGTATCGCTGGTATTTTTTGGGGTTTGGCCTCTTCTGGTGTTGATTACATTTTTGTATCTTTTGGTCTCTGGCCCTCTTGCAATTTCTGTCAAACCAATCTTGTTTCCTAGTTCTGCATCTCTGCTTTGGAATAAATTTTTTTGTGCCTTTATCATATATTTCACAAAACTTGACATACATATTTACTTCATATCCTAACAGCAAGTCTTTCCAGTCAATTTCCCTAATGAAATGTCTGAGTTCCCCGTAATGACCTCTCCTGAAATTGTAAGGAAAAATTTATTTCCTTATAAATAAATCCTGATTAAATCCTGAGTCTTAAGCAATCAGCGCTACTCTTATGGTGGTTGTGCGAGCTGGGAGTACTATTCTCAGGTACTGAGCTGCATGTGCTTAGGGTTATCCCTAAGTAACTATCCTGATGTCCTTACTATTAAGAGTACAGGCTACATCCGCGTTGCATGCTCGATTTAGGTTGCTACACCGCACTAGGTTGGTTTCCCACCCGGATGCCCCAGTGCCGCCCCGTTTTGGTTAGGTGTTGTTCGCCCCGTTTAGGTTAGGTGTTGTTCGCCCCTTTTCCCTCCCTGTTCCTGGCTCCTGACTGTCTGCGGGGTTTCGGGGTTGGGGCGGGGTTTCGTTGGTGCCGAGAGTCGGGTGGCTTCGGGGGCTGTCCCGGTCGGGGGCTGTCCTGATCCCCGAAGTCCCCCGGGACTTTGCGGATCTGCGTTTTTTTTTGGACTTGTTCTGTCTGCGCCCTGGATTCTTTGCCCCTCTTCTGATGACTGTTGTCTCTGGTCCGGCTTCTGTTGGGGCCGGGTGCCAGGATGGTGTCCCTCGACCTCCGAGTCACTTCTTGGCACGGTCTTCTCCAGGGCTCCGGGACTGGCACAGTTGGTGGTAGGGCTTCAGGCTTGCCGCTTTCGTTGCCTTCCATAGTTTGTATTTGGCACCTCGCATCTTTACGCTTCTTTACCGGGTCTTGGTGACCTGTCTTTACGTCTGCTCGGGATTCGGTTTCTGGCCTACCTGGACGACTGGCTGGTGTTGGCTCCCAGTCGGTCTGCTTGTCTGCTCGCCAGGGGTGTAGTTCTTTCCCAGCTCGCTGGGTTTGGGTTCCTGGTGAACTGGAGGATAGTCCATCTGATTCTGTCCTGGGTTAGGACCTGGCTGGGTTTTGTTTGGGACTCTCAGACCTCTTCTTTGTCTTTCCCTCCAGAAGCATTGCTGTAGCTGCAGTCCCGCCTTCGGCGGTTTCTGAGGGGGGGTCCCGGGTCACTTGGCGGTTGCTCGAGCAGTTGTGCGGGGGTCTGAACTTCACCGTGCTGGTCTACCCACCGGGTCAGGTTTGGCTTCGGCGTCTGTTTGGGTTCCTTTGGGGATGCCCCTTCTGCCTCTCTCGCGATCGTTGGGTTCGTCCTCAGGGGACCTTGTGTCAGTTGCTGCATTGCCAGCTTCCTCTTCGGGGTTTTCGGGGTTCAGTGCCTTGGCACTTACTCGAGCCTTCGCTCAATGTGTTCATGGACGGGTCATCTCTCGGCTGGAGCTTTGTGACCAATGCTCGCCAGGATGGCTGGGGATGGTGGGGTTCGTCTTTCCGTCGGGCTCACAGCACGGTTCGGGAGTTTGCGGTGGTCTGGTTTGTGCTTCGGAGGGTTCGGGTCACTAGGGGTCACTCTACCATCCGGCTCCATTCAGACTGTTCTCCGGTCGTTCATTGCCTGAACCACGAGGGGGTTCTCTTTGGCCCCTTGCCTCTTTGGGGTTGGTCCCTTCGAGTGGCTCGTCAGCTGGATTCTCGGGGTTTGGCACTCCATGCGGTTCATGTCCAAGGAGTGTCCAGCGTCCAGGCAGACGGCCTGTCTCGGTTCATTCCCCTATTCACTGAATGGACGGTTGACGCCGACTTGTTTCGTTGGCTCTGCCAGACGTCCGGGCTCCCGATCATGGACATCTTCGCGTCGGCATGGTCTCGGCGTCTCCTATTCTATGTGGCGCCCTTCCCCGCCTGTGAGGTGTTCGCGGTGGATGCCTTTCAGCAGGACTGGTCGAGGTGGGGTTACCTGTACCTCTTGCCCCCGGTCTAGCTGTTGCTTCTTCAGGTTCTGGCTCGGTTGGAGTCCTTCCCATGGAGAGTAGTCCTCGTGGCCCCTTGGTGGCTGGCCCAGCCTTGGTTTCAGGCGCAGCCTGCTTGGTGTCCGAACCTGGGGCGTTTTCCCGTGGCTCCGCCTCTTTCGGCAGGTCAGACCGGTTCGGTACGGGGCTGGTTCGGCCTTCTCCTCTGCTCTTCGCTTCTGGTCTTTTTGAAGCAGGTTTATCATATCTATGGTGATCAGGTGGCTTCATTGATGGTGTCCCACCTGCGAGCTTTGTTTTGGCGACTGTATGAAGTTTCCTGGCATTCCTTTCGCCATTTTCTTGCTCCTCGTAAGTTGTCTTCTCTTTCGGATTGGGTTGTCTTTTCCTTTCTTGTTTTTTTCAGGACCGTCATTTGATGCTTCTTACTGTCACCTCGTATCGTTTAGCGCTAGTGGAGCCGCTCCAGCTTGCATTCGGGGTGGACGTCACATCCGCCCTGTTCCGTACGCTTTCTCGTGTTTTGTTTCACCTCCGGCCTGCTCATGCGCTGCCTGAGCCATCCTGGTCTTTGGACAGTGCTCTCTTATCTTTCCTCTCCTCGGTTTGTGGTGGCCCCTTCAGTTCAAGATTGTTTTTCCAAGGTCCTGTTTTTGTTGATGTTGGCCTCTGGGGGTCGGGTCGAGGAGCTTCCTGCTCTCCTCTGGCACAGGGGTTTCTGCTCTTTTGGTCCTGGTGGCAGGTTTGTACGTTTGCAGCCTTCTCTGTCTTTTCTGGCAAAGAACAAGACGGCTGCTTTCCGAAGGGGTCCTTGAGTTATTGATGCTTGGTTGGTTCGGCCGGGGGTGCATCATGCTTTGTGTCCAGTTGCGGCTCTTTGCCGTTACCTGCGTGCCTCGACTGTGATGGCTGGGGATGTGCTTTGGGTTGATCCGGTTTCCCTCATTCCCTGTTCTGGGGCTCGGGTCTCCCAGGTCGTCCGCAGGGTTATTAAGTCTAGCCAGCCTGCGGTCTATCCTCGCGTCCATGACGTTCAGAAGTTTGTAGCTTTGGCTGCTGTGTTTGGTAACGTGTCTTGGGCTAATTTTCGGGCGCGGGGATTTTGGAAGTCGAACAGGGTCCTGGCTGCCCGTTAATTGGTGAGCGTGTCTGCTCCTGGGCATTCTTGTGTTGCTTTGGGTCGCAGGTTGCAGCCAGTTTCCTCAACTTCGTGTTGAGGAGTTTGTGGCAGCCGCCTCCCGGGTCAGTCCCTCTTTTCCTTCTCTTTGGGTATGTAGCTCCAGGGAGCCATAGGGGCAGAAAACCAGTGTTGAATGTATTGAAACGCCATTTTCTGGGTGAGCCCGGAGGCTCTGTGGCAACCCTCCCTCCCACCGGTCGGCGGTTTTTCGCGTTGGTTGAAGTTTAGCTTCCAAACTGGAGTGCTATGCAGCTGGCGCAGTGAGGTCCTGGGGCCTCCCCTCCCCCTGTCGAGGAGGGGAGGGCTGCTCGGACGAGCTGCGAGGCAGTAGTGTATTACGTTTGCTTGTTTCCTTGTTTCCTTAGGATTAAAGGGAGTTCAACCTCTCTGTTCGGTTTTTGTTGTTAGTTTCTTATCATGTGGGGTTTTTGTTATGCCTACCTTTCTGGGTGCCTAACCCCAGTCGATTGCAGATAAGGAAAACCCCCAACCACAGGGGGGGGGGTTTCCAGGGCCATTGCTCCCTGAAACCTCTCTCAAGGGGCCAGGTTCTGGCACTGGTCCCTGGTAGGTCTGAACTCCATAGCTAATGTCCCGGTCTAATATAAAATTCATTAGCCCGATTAGCTCCAGGGAGCCTCAGGGGCTCACCCAGAAAATGGCGTTTCATTACATTCAATGCTGGTTTTTGTCTGTAACCATTAAAATCTATCATTTGTTTATAACTATTTCTTGATGGTGACATTTGTTAATTTAACCAACAGGACAGAATATATGGTTACATCTGTTACATGAAAACCACTCTCTCTTGATGCCATGTAAAAAATTTACTGTACATCCAAGTCCTTCTCATAACATAATTATATTTTAAGTTGCGTTATTTTGTTACTTTACCTATAGTCAAATTAATAACCTTACTGGAGCTACAATACAATGAATATTATTTGATTTGCATTAAATTTAAAGTACAGTAGTGATGATATAATTATTTATCACAGTAATAATAATTAATATCTTTGCTAGCAACTGGATGAAAGAAATCACTGGAAAGAGGGCAAGTGCAAGTATCAGTCAAGTTCTTTGCATGACTATGTTTGTCCAGATGGTAAGCGATGTAGTAATGAAAATGGAGACCATCGCACAAGCCAGAGAAAAAAACAAGACCATTACCAGACCAAGCAATATCAGGTTAGTGATAGAAGTTGTACTGACAAGAAGTTTTACATACAGAAGGGGTCCCAATACTGTAGGGGAGCCCCGTCAGCTCCCTAAAGCTGTCAAACTGACATGTGCCATATTAGTTTGGTGCCATCAGTCCTTGTTCTGTTTCCTGCTATTTCCAGAGGACTGTGTTGCTCAGTTTCCATCAGCAGCTTCTACTAGTTGCCACCCCATTTCTGATTTGTTGGGAAGTAGGGGGGGGGGGGCATTCTTGCTCCTCTCGGGGTGGTCATGCCAGAGCTTGGGTTTTGGTAGGTCGAGGTAGGCCTTTGGGGCCAGTTTTGGAGCCAGTGTGTCTGTGGGGAATTTCTACCAGCAGGAATTTATTTATTTAATTTTATTTTAATTTATTATTCAAACCGGAAGCCCCTCCGACTCCGTGGAGCTATCAGACTGATATGCGATATATTAGTCTGGGGCATAACTCAATTGGAGTTCAGCCTACCGGAGACCACGAGCCAGAACCTGGCCCCTTCAGAGAGGCAAAGGGAGCAATGGCCTGTGGAAACCCCCTTGTACTTGGGGGCATTCCATGTCTGCCATCTTCTTGAGGTTATCTTGAGATGATTTCGGGGTTTAGTGTCCCCGCGGCCCAGTCCTCGACCAGGCCTCCACCCCCAGGAAGCAGCCCGTGACAGTTGACTAACTTCCAGGTATCTATTTACTGCTAAGTAACAGGGGCATCAGGGTGAAAGAAACTCTGCCCATTGTTTCTTCCCTGCACCCGGGATCTAACCTGGGACCACAGGATCACGCGTCCAGTGTTCTGTCCGCTTAGCCACCGGCATCGACCGGGGTTAGCACCCAGAACGGTAGGCATAACAAAACGAAGACCGAACACAGAGGCAGAACTCCCCCAACCTTTAAAAACAAGCAAGCGTCACACCCTGCCGCCACGCCACTTGTCCGCGCAGCCTTCCACTCCCCGGGCGGGGGAGGGGGGAGCCCCGGTCCCCCCGTGCCAGCTATTCATATTACCAGTTCTTTGGCTGATGCAATCTGGGGGCGGTCTTCAACTCTGGCCTCAGATTCTTGGCATTTGTGTACCTTCGTGTTGTGTTATGCTGTGTGTGGTGCGGTGGCCAGGAGAAACTTATGGGAAGCCGGGAGACTGATTTCTCAATCTTCCTCAAACACACTCAAACTTTTTGTGCATAATCTACATGGTAAATGCTCCAACTTTTAATAATGGTTCAATGTCATAATATGAACAAGAAAAAAAACAGGGTTGAAGGTAATGAAACACCATTTTCTGGGTGAGCCCCGGAGGCTCCCTGGAGCTTATGTATGTTATATTAGACCGAGACATTAGTTATGGAGTTCAGACCTACCAGGGACCAGCGTCAGAACCTGGCCCCTTCAGAGAAGTTTCAGGGAGCAATGGCCCTGGAAACCCCATTATGGTTGGGGGTTTTCCTTATCTGCCATTGACCGGGCTAGGCACCCAGAAAGGTAGGTGTAACAAAACAAACCCCACATGGTAAGAAACTACAACAAAAACCGAACAGAGAGGTAGAAACTCCCTACAATCCCAAGGAAACAATCAAACAATCAATTTACTGCCGCGCCGGTCGTCCGCGCAGCCCTCCCCTCCCCGGGAGGGGGAGGGGAGGCCCTGGACCTCACCACGCCAGCTGCCTTCAGTTCGGAAACTAGGCTTCAACCAACGCGAAAAACCCCGCCGACCAGATGGGGCTACCACAAACTGAGAAGAGGAAGGATAAAAGGGCACCCTGATCAAGGACCAGGATTGCTCAGGCGGGGCATGAGCAGGCTGGAGGTGAAACAACACGAGAAGCGTATGGAACAGCGCGGATGTGACGTCCACCCCGAACCCAAGCCAGAATGGCTCCGCCAGTGCCGCACAATACGAGGTGACAGTAAGAAGCATCAATTAACAGTCCTGAAAAACCCAAGAAAGGACAAGACAACCCGATGCGAAAGAGAAGACAACCTACAAAGAGCAAGAAAATGGCGAAAAGAAATGCCAGGAACGCCATACTATCGCCGAGACGAAGCTCGCAGGTGGAACACCATCAACTAAGCCACCTGATCACCATACAGATGGTGATACACCCGCGTCAGCAGAGCAGACGCGAAGAGCCGAGGAGCAGACCGAACTAGTCACATACAGGTCCGATATGCCGAATGAGGCTGAGCCGTGGGAAACATCCCGGGTTCGGACACCTATCAAGCAGTGTCTGAAAACAAAGCTGGGCAAGCCACCAAAGGACCATGAGGACTACTCTCCCTGGGAATGACTCCAACCGAGCTAGAACCTGAAGCAACAGCTGGATTGGGAGAAGAGGAATAGGTAACTCCACCTTGACCAGTCCTGCCGAAGGCATCCACCGTGAATGCCTCGCAGGCGGGTGAAGGCGCCATATAGAATGGGAGATGCCGAGACCACGCCGACACGAAGATGTCCATGTCCAGGAGTCCGTACGTCCGGCAGTGCCAACAAAATGAGATGGCGATGACCAGCCAAACCGTGAACAGAGGAATGAACTGAGACAGGCCGTCTGCCAGGACGCAGGACACCCTGGACATGAAATGCACAGCTAGCCAAACCCCGAGGATCCAGCAGATAAGCCACTTGAAGGGACCAACCCCAAAGGTCAAGGACCTAAGAGAATCCCCATGGTTCCGGTTATGAACCGCTGAATGACAGTTTGAATGGAGCCGGATGGGAGAGCTCCGAGTGACCCGAACTCTCCGAAGCGCAAACCAAACAGCCACGAACTCCCGAACTGTGCTGTGAGGCCGACGGACGGATGGACCCCACCATCCCCGGCTGGCCTGGTGAGCAATGGCCACAAAGCCCCAGCTGAGAGATGGACTCATCCGTGAACACGTCAAGCGAAGACTCGGGGAGGCGCTAAGGCACGAAACCCCCAAAACCCCAAGAGGAAGTCAGTGATGCAGCATCAACACAAGATCCCTTGAGGACAAACCCAACGATTGCGAGAGAGGCGGAAGGGGGTCCCCGAAGAAACCGAACAGCATGGCGAAGTTCAGACTCCTGCACAATCGCTCGAGCAACCGCCAAGTGATCCGGGACCCCTCATAAACAGCCGAAGGCAGTACCACAGCCGCAGCGACGATTCTGGAGGGAAAGACAAAGAAGCGGTCCAAGAGTCCTAAACAAGACCCAGCCAAGTTCGAACACGGGATGGAACCAGATGGCGTGGCCTCCAGATCATCAAGAATCCGAACCCAGAAATCTGGAAAGAACCACACCCCTGGTGAGCAAACAAGCGTACCGACTGGGAGCCCACTGGACCAGTCGTCGAGATAGGCCAGGAACCGAATCCCGAGCAGACGCAGACAGGTCACCAAGATCTGGTAATGACGAGTAATACACTAAGTGCCAATTACAAACTAGGGAAGGCAACAAAACTGGCAAGCCTGAAGCCCACCACCAACTGTGCCAGTCCTGTAACCCTGGAGAGGAACGTGCCAAGAAGTGATCTGGACGTCCAGGGACACCATCCAGGCACCCGGCCCCAACAGAAACCGGACCGGAGACAACAGTCTTCCGAAAAGGGCAAAGAATCCAGGGCGCAGACTGCATAAGTCCAGAAGAACCACAAGGCCCATGTCTGCACTAGAACAGGCGGGAACCGCGGAAGGATGGGACGGAGCAACCACGTTCAAACGCACCCACACCAAGATGACATAATGAAACACAGGGGAAGAAGCCCACCCTGCTAGCCCCGAACCCCCCAAAGGGGGAGAAGCCGCCCGACGCCACCAGAGGTCGGAAGACAACCACAAGCGAGAGCTAACAGCAAGGTGCTCCCACAGCGCCCCATCAACAGCGAAGGGAACAAAACCCCTTCCAAAAGAAAATGTATATACTGTATATAAATACACACCCACATGTACATATATACATATATATATATATATATATATATATATATATATATATATATATATATATATATATACATATGTCGTACCTAGTAGCCAGAACTCACTTTTCAGCCTACAATGCAAGGCCCGATTTGCCTAATAAGCCAAGTTTTCATGAATTAATATATTTTTTTTAATTTTTTTCTTATGAAATGATAAAGCAACCCATATCATTATGTAAGAGGTCAATTTTTTTTTATTGGAGTTAAAATTAACGTAGATATATGACCGAACCTAACCAACCCTACCTAACCTAACCTAACCTATCTTTATAGGTTAGGTTTGGTTAGGTAGCCGAAAAAGTTAGGTTAGGTTAGGTTAGGTAGGTTAGGTAGTCGAAAAGCAATTAATTCATGAAAACTTGGCTTATTAGGCAAATCGGGCCTAGCCTAGTAGGCTCAGAAGTGAGTTCTGGCTACTAGGTACGACACATACATACATATATACACACACACACACACACACACAGTACAACCTCGATTCAACGTACTATATGGGACCAGCCCCAGTTCGTTGGAGCGTTGGATTCGTTGCAAGAGGTGACGACCTTCAGGAGGCTTTTGTGTCAGTGTCTTTTTTTTCTTGTACACAATAAAAATGCATTATCATATTACATACTCTACCTATATATATATTACTTCTCTACTAAAAAATACTGTAATTCATAAATTTACCTTACTGTTGAAGTTATATCCATCTTGAAGTTTCGTGAAGTTGTGAATGCTCTACATTAAATACGTACTGCAGTGCATTATGCCATTAGCACTGTGTTGATTAAAAGTAGTTCTGCTGTATGTTGAGTACTACAATACAGTTTATGAAAACTATTGTACATTAAAATTACCACAACTTTAATTTTAACACTGTGTACACACTTAAATTTAACACTTGTTCTAACTGTTCACGCTGCACACGATATTTTTAGATGTTTGCATCAGCTTTGCTGGTGCTCACTGCTGCTGTGGGTTCAACTGCTTCTGAGCTGGTGCTGGCTGCTGTTGTACCAGTGCTTGGTACAACTGTGCTTGTGCTGGGTACGACTGTTGTAC